AGGGGCAAGGTGACGACTTGACAAGGGCCGTTCGTGTGTCCCAACTGCGCTGGATGCCGTTTCCATAGTAAGAGGGTAGATCGTCTAGGAATGGTGATGTCGATGCAAAGTCCACAAAGGGCAAAAGGCCGCTGGTCCATGACAGGAAAATCAGGGAAGAGTCCTTGGGTCTCAAGAAGGAGAGAATGAAAAGAGCCGTGAGGAGAATAGAAACAACGATGTACGGCAAGGCGCGCCAGAAGCACTTGGTCCTCAGCGGGGGTCGTGAAAGTGATGATGACTTGGGCTTCTCGCTGTATTTGACGGTTACTCCGGCGCTCTTTTCCTCGTCGTCCTTGGTATAGCGGTGACTGTTGTGTTGAGGGAGTTGATGGTAGCCACCTTGAACGCGACTCAGTTTCCGTCCAACACAGGAGAATGGCCAGTTGACAATGTCTGCTCCCCATCCAAAGAGTCCATAGCAGGCACCTTGAAGTACCGCGCTCGCAAAAATGGCAAGGGACACAACCACGATAAAGGTCATGAGCCCTGAGAGAAGAACAGTCCTCGCTGCCGGGTCAGCAACGAAACCGATGTTGCGCCAGTGAATCTCGGATCCTGCGACAAGGTAAAAGGAGACGGACACGATGCCGAGTGAAACATTGTAGCATATTAAAAAGGTGGTAAGAGCTGAAATGAGTATTCGTAGTCTGCCTGGTGAGCTGGGTGTCCAGTGGCTAAGAAGAAGCCTGATGAGAAGTAGAAGTAATATGTCTTGAGTGAAGAAGGAAAAGAAGAAGAGCACCATGCGCTTTGGGGCCACTGAAAAGCGATGGTTGTGGAGATGTGCGCCCTTGGCACCGCAGACAGCCAAGACGGCGAGGGCGAAGACAAACCTCCGGTTGGCGAGGCGTGAGACAAGAAGCCCGATCCATCCTGGTTTTCGATTCATCTTGGCTGGACGGAACCCTTCGAGACAAGTCGATTGGTCGCGTGAGGGGATTTCCAGGACGGGAAACGGGGGAAAGAAGAGAAGACTGGGCGCTCGACGATGATAAATATCTCTCAACCCCAGAGCCTGGTTTCGCGCCAGGTGTTGGCGGTGCCGCGTTAGGCCCTTCTAGAGAAGCGATTAGGGGTCATTCTAGGCTCTGATCGCCTGTCTGGGGTCTGTTGGTCGACTGCAGGCGTTAAGGGGCCCAGGTCCAGTCCAGTTCATTTGGGAGCTTCTCCGCTCAACACTCCGCTAGCCAATATGCCGTGCGCCAGCATGAAACGAGAGGACCCGATCCAGCGCCACTTAAGGGTCCTAACCAGTCGCGGCTGGTCGTGCCGAAAGAGCCCTACAAGCATCAACAACGGTGGCAGATTGGAATCATCAGCGGGCCTCTCACCCAGTTTCCCCTATTGGATCTCGCGTAACAGCTCATCAGCCTGTGTTGCCCAAGCAGCTCCAGGTGGTACGGCTGCGCCACTGAGGAAGCACAAAAAGACCCATTTTCGTTTACCGTATCGACTCATGAGATGGAAAAGGGGCCCGTGGGTCTCGACGTCCTTGCAAATCCCAATCGCTAACCGGTTAAGGACCCAAGACACGAGACACTACACGTTGCTTGATTGGACCGGCGGTTGCATCTTGAGCGGAATCTAGCCGTGAATGGTCAAGGCTCATCTTCCTAGCAGGGGCAGCGTGGGGTCTAGACTCTGCCAAGCCTCTGAACAAGGTCTCTCCCCGGCTCAGTGACATTCAAGGCCCTGATCTGCAAGGGGCGGCACGAGCTCGAATGAGGGGATATTTCGGCCAAGATGAGCGTCCAGTCTGAGCTTCTTTCTGTGAGACGGTAGGTAGTTCAGCTCTGCTGCACGTCGCTCTCTGTGAGGTGCTTGTGGAGCGATGGCTGCTTACCCACCGTTGAAGAAATCTGTGTCTGAAACATTGAGACAGCCCTATCCTGGGATGGCAACGTGCCGGAAAAACAGCCGAACAAACGAAAAAGTTAATGGCCGAGGCCCTGAGTCAAGAACAAGGGCCCATCCTTCGGGCAAGGCCTAGCGGGCTTCTTCTGTTGGTTCTACCCCCAACTTTCTCCCAACAGACAGGAGCACGTGCCCGTGGCGTTCCCTCTTAGGGCCCAAGATGCACGCGTGAGGCCGCCGAGGAAATGTTGTATGCACAAGCCGGGCGGATGATGCAATCCTCGCAAGAGGCCATTGGGCAACCACCTCGAGCGCCTGCACGCGAGCGGCCGATATTGGTTTGACACCTTCCTTGATTAGACACTCGGTGTCTAGACCATGCATCGACTTGGGGGAGGGCACTGCTGGTGATAGATGTCTAAAGTGACATTTGAAGCGACGCGACTGGCCATTCCGTATCGAGACTTACCACGACCGATCTAGACCAGATATACGAGCCACCCATCATTACAAAAATGCACAGCCCGCATCGCATAGCCTTAATTCTGTGCAGGCATCGGTCCACCCTAGTTAGCCGTGATGCCGTTCTACCGAGGCAGATTGTCCAACGCGAAACCCAACCAAGGTTTCTCACATCTGTTTGTGCAACACGGCAACTGGGCGCAGTGGGGAGCGCATTATAGTTCCCAGGCAAGCACAGACATGGTAATATCAGGCTTCGTGAGAGGCACAGAGCGCTTCCCAGAATGGATAGCTGAGCGAAGTGTGTGCCCCATCCTTCAACAGCAAAATCAGACACATCTCACCAATTTCATGTCCTACGTACTACCATGGCATAGCAGCTGTGCATCGGGATCAAAGCGGCTTTCGCCTCAGCCCACAGGCCTTTCAGCTTAGGCTACAGGCCATATGAGATGATAGAGTCTGTCCAATGGCCTCATCACCTTCGTAATGGTTGAGGCGCAGGGAAACTTGCCTTCTGAAACCCCCTCGGCCGAAGTACGACGTGTCAAGCGAGCGTCCCTGCGTTGGTTGGTTTCTTCTGCCCGGCGGCTCCTCGGCAACCAAGGCTCAGGAACTCGGGAAGGCTTACGCATTCTTTTTCATTCTGCTTTCAAAATACGAGTTTCCTATGAAAATGTCCATTTATAGCTTCTCAGGACGTTGCTTGCCTAAAGTCAATTCAAAGGACGCGTCATGTCCGATGAGTGGAAATTCATGTGCTTCTTGGATGTACTGGCTGTGCTAGGCTGTAAGCATGCCAGGTTCACAAAGGAATTGTAAAATGAATACAACATGTCAGTTCTCTTGTGCTTGCATGTTGAACAGTGCCTCAATTACAGGGCCGAGCAGGCACAAGGCACTTCTCATCACAAGCTTTCTGTGAAGCAGGTTAATCGACTCAAGCAAGTTTAGGATCAACTTTTATTTGTCGAGCGCAGTTTGATGGGTTGTTTCTTCTACTATTTACTTCATTGCTAGTAGCTATCATGCGTGCCAAGGCTTCTCGGTCGGCCAATTTTCTCGTTTGTGGATGTGTTGGTTGGCTTCACTCACTCAGGACTCATCATCAAGGGCCAACGCTTCACTCACAGTTTCCCATATTCCCTACAGTGCAATCTCAAGATCTCTGTTCCCTTTGGCATATTTCCAAATGTGTTTTCCCCACCAAACAACGGCCCTAATTCATCCCTTCCTTCATCAAGCACACATAGGGTTGTCAGAGTATTGGAAATGTTGGGTTCGTCAGGGGCAACCTCATGGACGTCACAATACAATGAGTCTCAAGTACCACAACTCGATGTTTTAGTAACATATGAAACCTAGTCCTTGCCTTGATTTTGTCGTGGTGAACATAACAAACACTGATGTTGATATTGTTATGTTGGGGGCAACATCCATCGGCGGGGAAACCATCTCGTGTCAATGTTGCACCGAACCGTCAGTCCAATCAGTGGCTGGGGCTGAGAGATTATGTAATCACACTCTCTGATCCCATCTCTCAGAAAAAAGGAAATGCGGAGAGTTGACACCGAAAGAAATCATGCAGAACATGCAGTCGAAGAACAAAGAGGAAATTCGAATGGCACGAAAATATGCCAGAAATTCGATATTAAATTGCCTTTCCGTAACAGTCCCTTATCCAGGCTCTACAGGCTAGCTCTAGGTCGTTGTAGTCTCAAGTTTCTTCAACCTTCAGCTGGTTCCAGGGTAGTTGGCGCCATTCTGTGAGGGGCTTAGACGATCCAAGGTGAGAATGCTGTGTGGTGTATAGAGTACTTGAGGGCGCTTGGAGATCGGCCCATAAATACCGTGCTTGGTGTTCCTAACCGAGTTGTGCTACTGTAGAAATATTGGTCTTCCAAGTGCACCAGGAAACAACCACAGGGAGCCGGACCGGTCTCCAGGCCTGGCCAAGTATTGGCTGTGTTGTCCCATGTGGCACAGTGCAGCACTGTGGACTGCAGCACTTTTCCGACCCAAATGCCAAGAATTTCTGAGTTGCTGTTGAACATGGGGACTGGGTAATGAGACGTCATCCTTTTTGGCATTGATTCGTTTGATCGAATAAACTCAGAGGAAGCTGATATCGATGATGAGGAATCTGACAACGTCAGTCGCCATTCCAAGCAAAGGGAGGATAATAGTCATAGCTACGTCATGTTAGCTAGTCAGCACAAACCTTGAGCTTCGGCCTCTCGGAATTATATAGAGATCACTTGCCGACGACGAGGATCCGGGAAACCTCTAAATCTCACCACACTTGGAACAAGGACTATTCTTTACAAATTCATCCATCTACCACCAAAGAAACGAACCATGGCGTGCGACTGCGGATCTACTTGCAACTGTGGCGGGCCGAGTGCCTGTTCCTGCGACAACACTTGTGTCTGCAAGAATTGCGGTGGAGTACGTATCAACACATGTGTACGTTGGCTGGGCCCAAGATAACATTTATTTCTAGAAATGACTCTGCCTCACATGACTGTGAGTAGGGCGGCAGTTGTTCTATGAGCGAGATATGGCCTTTTAGTATGGAGATTGAGATGACACGACGAGATTGTTTGTAGCCGAGATCGTAGTTAAGGGGTTGACTAATAATCTTAATCATGAGCATCATTCATTGCCTGCTGTGAGAAATCATTGAGCTTGTTGCTGGGCTCGTGATGTATCTTGAGGTTAGGCGCCGGGACACGACGTAGTTTCAAGCCAACTTCCAGGTTTGAGTTTGACAGTTTATTCACTTACCTATCAGACTTCCAGAACATACCTACTTCCCAAGTTATATCACTCATTTTTTACCAAATATGAACTTCCTAGTTATTGATGCACCTCGAAAAGTGGAACATAGCTTGCAGGAGATGCAGGATTAAAGCATGCTTTATTCAGCTGCGTCGCGTAGAATACTCATGATAACATTTGTTAGGGAATCCATTTCTCATTATCATCTCTTCGTAAAATCATAACCAGTACTACCAAGTCATAGCTTGACCGACAAGACGGTTCAAGATACCCGCTGAACCTACTTGTTCATGCTGACATTCGAGCAGATCTCGCCAATGCCCGTCACCATGCCCGTGCCCCTGCCACTGAAGCACACCTTGCCAACACCCGAGATCTCTGCATAACCATTCCCGTCCACCCAGACATTTCCACACCCAGAAAGCGTCACATGGCCGTTGCCATGGACGTAGACGTTTCCACAACCGGAGAGGGTAACGTACCCTCCACCATCAATGTTGAATGTACCGCAACCACTGATAACAGTTACCTTGGAAGGATCGCACCCTTCAACGCTTTTATGATTTGCTTTGGCTGCTGGGGCGGAAGTAGATTCATCTCTTGGCCTCTGGTGCGACTTTGACGACTTTGTTGCTGGCTTTGGAGAGGGCTTCAATGCCATTGCTGGTGCCTTGGCGGGCTTCTTCGGCTCGGGCCTGGGGTACATGGTAGCAAGAAGCTTCTTGTCGCCATCTGAAAGCCTCGTGTTGAACGGCCTAGTATCTTCCCCCTCAGAGGTGTTGCACTCGCCGACCTGGCAATGCATGATCGAGCGTTGGTCAACGTCGCTGGTCATGTCGCTCAGGGTGCTCCAAAAGTCGTCTGACTGTGAAGCCATGGTGTCGGACTTACCCGAATGGTCATACTCGAGCTGAATACCAAGAGCATGACCAAAAAGGTGCAAGATGGAGCGTCGTCGCCTGTCTTGCTGCTCATCCTTGCTGAGATGGCTGGAAGGGTGGAGGTTCAACTCCATGGTATGGAGATCTGGGTATTTTTGGGCGTTACGGCCAACCCGAGACCGATTCTTTTGACCGAATCGGATGCGGATATCGGAAGGAACGGAAGCGCCGTCATCGAGAAACTCGAATCTCATGCGCATCGGCACCTCGTGGTAGTACTTGGTTACATAGTGCTCCACCGTCCTCCTCTCCAATGAGCTTCCGCCGAGGAATCGAACTCTGAGGCAAGTCTTTTCAGCGGGCCAAGCATAATTGTTGTCTACAATAATGTTTGTAGTCGAAAAGGAAACCATGGTTGACATGTTTCCGTGCTCGAGATTGTCGTTACGCTTGTTGCTGTTGGTAGATGCTCAAAGAAGGACGAGGCGGGTAGCTGAAAGAAGGTCAAGTGTTAATAGCACCGCGATGGAGATGTCACGAGGAAGGGAAGAAGGGCCGGTTAGGCAAGATATATAGGCAACTACGATGCGGCCCTGGAGAAAGGACAGTTTAAGCTTGTTTTTGAACATATTGCGCAAAAGACGCGGACTGGTTTGTTCTTCAACCCAATCCATTAGCCCTCGTGTTTCCTTTGTTGAGAAAGGCATGAGCTTATGTTGTTCTATTGTCGAAGTTCTTTGTCTCACGGATGGCTTTTTGAGTGCCTCAGAACTTATCTAATCACTGTGCGATCAGATAGTTTTGAAGAACGTTGATATGATGTTGCTGTGATTGACTGCTGGGCACTCCAGCGAACAAGGCACCTCCTGGCCATGTTCGCCTCACCTGGCCATACTGAAGTTGAAATGAGGTTCAATCATCGTAAATGCAACCGATGGAAAAGAGAAGTGGCAACTGAAGAGAAATCAGGCTGCAGTGATGCAGGGCGTAGGGGTTCCTGGTCGAGCTGTGCCACTAGGATGCGCATCCTAGACAGGCAATCTCCCGCTGCCCGACCCCTGAAATCCATGGCTTTCAGCGCTGGAAATTCTACCTCGGCTGTAAACTGTGGAAATGAACGCCGAACTTAGGGGCTCAGCTTGATTCATTCAGAACTGACTGCATGGACCGTCGTCTATCGAGGGCATTGCACAAGTTTCTTCCCGCTGCGCCCAGAAAAAAAAAATCATGATGCACTTATATCTCTAGATAGTCAGTTCTGACCACCATGTATTGACTTATTATTATTGTGTGTGATCGAATACAAACTCCTTGAGGTATAGATGGCATGGTTCTCTTATTTCATGCGCGCTTTCAGTAGGTGCCCCCTAATAAGTAACGGGAGGACGCGAAATATTCCCCCAGGCGCTCGAAACAGGGCATGGGTCTGTATCATTTAATTGTTGCCATTATATCAGGTCGATGGTGCTCTTACACAATTATTTTAATGGGCTAAGACAAGTTCCTCAACAATTAGCAACGGTGCTCGTAGGGCTGAGTCAAGGGCTCTTCCTCTATGGTCCACACCGATGGCCCAAGAAGATTCCCTAGAATCTCCCGAGAATCCTTAAACAGTTGGTTCACTCTCATGGTAGTAGATTTCTGGTATGCTTGCCGTAGCCCGCCTACAGTCTCAGTCTGCTCTATCCTATGATCAAGTTGACTCTTGTCACCAGGCCAAATCAGTACATTGGCAACAGTTCTCTAGATGCGAAACGTTGTAGAAACCTTTTGACTATAGTTGTTTATGTTAAGATGATAGAAGCAAATACATTCAGCCTACAGAAGGGCTCTAGGTAGATAGCCCCAAGGCATTAAGACGTCTCAGAATAGTTTGGACTGATAGAGAACTCGGCACCGCTGATGTGCTTTGTTCTGAAGAAATATATCATTTCTTACATTTAATACAGAGTACGGTACAGGCAGTAACACTCCAGGTGAGTCGTCAAGATCACGTTGATAGTGGCCGACTATTGACTTGCTCAGCGCACCGTGGTCCAATTTTGCATGAGCTTGCGGGAGTCCACTGAAGCACCTTTTTAAACTTGGCAATTGGTGTATCAGTCGAGGTATGTGATGTTTTCTTCGATTTTCTTCGATTTTCTTCGACTTCGAGTTTGACATAGTGGTGATGCCACCGCCAACATGAAAGTTGTCCGCTGCAGCCACGGAGAAAAGAAAGACATTACATCTTACCCAGGTTAAACTTAGAATTTTATGCACTATATATCCTGATATTGCTTTTTTGACATATTGCAATACTAAATGAGAGTTGCATCAAGTATGCCAAACTCTCAGGATAACCATTGAGCGAACGTTAGAAGTGAGAAGCATCATCGTTCTGAGTCGGCATATACATTGTGTATCACGACAAAAAGGCGATGCCATTCCATACATGCAATGATATGGAATTGGAAATGAGTATTGGTATCAAGAATCCAGTATTGGGGATTATGTTCCCCTATAATCAAGAAGTGCTTGGAGCATTATCCTTTCAATTCGCGTCTGCTGGCGTGCATTCAAAGCTGCTGTAGTACGTTGAAACCCCCTCAGTGGAGTAGGGTCAGTACTTCACAGTACAAGGGAGAGGAAACCAGTGGCAGAGCACGACGCCTATCATTCACGGATGCGGGGAAGCCCTCAACGAGATCAATCACCTAGAGACAACAGTGGCGTTCCGAAGAACACAGACCTTCAGCTTGTCTCGTAGCTCGTCAGCCACTATCACACATGCCTTCAAAAGGGGAAAAGTGTCCGGTACATGGCTGCTGACGGTCAGATCTAGACTCGTAAATACTGTTCCGGCCCGGGACGCGTGCCCAAAGCTGTAGACACGGGTCACACAATTCCTCAGCCTCAAGGTGCAAATTCACCCAGATCAGAATTGTGGCTGCCCTGTCATCCAAGCCCGTCAGTTCGAGACCTCAGTAGGGCACCTCTTGTATCGGAGATAGTGGCGTCTTGGTATTTCAGCAGGCGGCAAGGAGTAAGTTCCCCGGCCAAAGTGGCTTGCTGACGTCTGAGACAGGCCAATAATCAACCATTAGCGCAGCGGTCTATTTGCTTGGAACTCACGCGCGGCTCGGCACGCATTAGTTGATCCGACCCTTTGGTGTGAGCTCCAAAGCTTCCCCGCGAATTGGTAGGGTTTCTGTGAGCTCCGAGGTGGCGAGCTGATAGGAAGCCACGCAAGTTCTAGATCCAAACTGGCTAACCGTCTTCTCGCCAATGGGTTAAACTTAGTTGAAGGTCTTGTAGGGAGCTCGGCAGCGATGTCAACGTTTGTAGCTTATGCAACGCAGCAACTGTGCCTATAAAGAACCCGAAATGCCCAGGTAACAACAGCCCATCTCTCCCCTCAACTGCAACAAATACCTAGACAGGGCTCTCACTTCTCAACCATCACGTTCGCCAACATGACACACGCCGAGTCTCCAGCAGCAGCTGCTGACAATGGTGAAGAGCACAAGAAGCTTATTCTCTGCTTCGATGGCACTGGCAACACTTTCAGCGGCACCAATGCCGATACCAACGTGGTCAAGATCCTCCGCAAGCTCGACCGCAACCATCCCAACCAGTTCCACTATTATCAGAGTATGTTTGTCGTCTATCTGATATGAACTCAGCTGACAGTGCTGCAGCCGGTATTGGCACCTACGATGTCAATGAGTCTTCCGTGAATAAGACTTACCTTGGTGAGATACGGAGTTCATTCTCCAAGACTATTGACCAGGGCTTTGGAACAACCTTTGATGCCCACGTCATTGCCGGTTATCGTTTCCTGATGCGATACTACGAGACCGTAAGTGATACCCATCGCCATTCCATCTTCAGTACTAACATGGCTTCGAATCAAGGACGCAAGAATTTACATCTTTGGCTTCAGCCGTGGCGCCTTCACAGCCAAGTTTCTCGCTCGCATGGTCAACAAGGTTGGCCTCCTTTGTAAAGGTAACGAGGAGATGGTCCCCTTTGCCTATCGCCTGTATCAGCGCGCTCTCAAGTGCGAGAGTGACGATCGTGTCGCCGCACAAAAAGAGAAGCAAACTGCTACTGGTAAGAATACCAAGGTCTACACCAACGGCAGTCAGTGCAAGGACCAAGTTGAGCATCTGCTGGGCGGCGACGCCGTCGTCAAGGAGAGCAAGGAAACAGTGGCAGCGACCAAGGAGATCGAGGCCTTCAGCCAAACCTTTTGCCGAAATGCAGGCGACGTTTCCAAGCACAAGAACATCAAGGTCTTCTTCCTCGGCATGTGGGACTGCGTCAACTCAGTCGCAGTTGTTGAGAAGAGTGCTCCAGCCCCAGTTGGAGTTGCTGGCACAGCTGAACATGTCCGTCACGCTGTTGCTGTCGATGAACGACGCGTCAAGTTCAAGCCTGCCCTTCTCGCTCAAGACATTCGACATAACTATCATGAACATGATAAGTTTGAGGATGTTAAGCTGGACGATATTCACGAGGTTTGGTTCCCCGGTAACCATGGTGACATTGGCGGCGGATGGCCAGCCCTTGACTTGCCCAAGATCGAAGACATGGGCTTTTGGCAACGGATCAAGCACTACTGGACGACCTTGAAAGCCAAGAACCAGGATGTACCACTTGACGACTCACGCTTGCAGATGAGCGACATGGCATTGGAGTGGATGATCCGTGAGGTCGACATTGTGGGCCAGAAGGATCCCAAGTCCAAGGTTCACTGGTGTCCCACTGGCCTGGCCACGTTCAAACAGTTAATGAACGACGAAGAGAGGGTGAGGGAGTTGGTGATCAAGGGATTCATGCACGATTGCCTGTCTTTTGGTCGTGGAACTGCCCTGTTCAAAGTCATGATGTGGAAGTTCATGGGTAAGCAAGCTCGAAATCCTGATACTATCCACCGCAACTGCTAATAGCTTTCTAGAAATCCTGCCATTCATTCCACGATGGGAACTGAATGACCTCGCCGAGAAGGAAGAAGACAAGGGATGGGAGCCTTATCGCGGCTGGCCAAACAAGGGCGCCTACCGCGACATCCCACGAAGAGCAATTCTTCACGACTCCCTGAAGCGTCGACTGGAAGATGTCAAGAGCTATTACCCCAAGAACAATCATGGAGCCAAGGCACCGTGCTTGAGACCCAGCCACAAGGGAGATATCGCCATGATGGACGAGGTGCCACTCAACTTTGTCGTCGATTACAAAGGTGCGGTCACGGAGGCAGCTAGAGCGAAGAGGGAAGAGGAGGTGAAGGAGGAGGAGCCATGGCATGTTAGACACCAGACATGGCAGCTGAACCCGCCCGGGACCATTCAACTCTGCTAGATAGCCTAGATTTGTTCTTTATTCGCGGATGGGATGGACCTTCTGGAGTTCAGGGTCCTGTAAGCAGATGCTACGTAATATTCTCTATGTAATTCTCCTTTCTTGATTTGCCTCGGCACTATTGTTGATTTGTGGTAATAACTCCTTCATGTTAAGGCAACAAACAGGAAAATTGGGTTCGGCTATCCAAGACGCACATAGTCATCTGAACAGTCTAGGGCATGAAGTATCAACTTGAATAAGAAGGTCGTAGGGCGACCAAAGGCCAAAAGCGGAGCATGCCTCGGGCTCACAGAAACAGCATAATATCAACTAGAGTCAACGACGGCTCTAAAAGAGTCCACCAGTCACAGCAGCAAACGGCACAGCTGTGCCACACTCTTATGCGGGAGATAATACGATCCACACTTGATAGTTCCAGAACATAAGCAGTCATAACGTCTCCCTCCAAATCAAGTCAGCACCAAATTAGTGCTGCGGCCCTGGAATCCCAAACCAGTTAGCTTTGCGCAAACACCACTGAGGCCCACCACCGACCCAATCACCAAGCTCTGAAGATTATCGAGTTCTGAGTTAACAGGAGAGGCATGCAGATGGTCAATGTCCCGGACATTGGGCTTTTCATCGCCGTGGCTGACACTAAGGTATCTATCTACCTGTCAGTCTATATAATAACCTTATCTTGACCATCCTCTTCCTTCAGTCCACCTTACCCTCCCCAACTCATCTACAACATGCCACAGCTTATCTGGTTAGTGACGGCTACGACGTCGGGGCTCGGTGCAGCAATCGTCCAGCACCTCACAGCCCGAGGTGATCGTGTCATCGCAACAGGCCGAAACGCAGGTGAACGCCTCGGCCATCTCAAGTCAGACAATGTTGCTATCCTTGAGCTCGATGTCACCGCTCCGCAACAGCAAATCAATGCACAAATCGAGAAGGCCTGGCACATCTGGGGACATATCGATGTTCTTCTGAACAACGCTGGAGTTTCAGCACCTAAGAGCATCGAAGAGGCTACGTGAGTACTCCAACCTGCATTGTACCTTTGATAAATCTAACGACTGTACCTACAGCGACGACTTTGTCCACAGCATCTTTGATGTGAACCTGTTTGGAACACTGCATGTGTCCCAAGCCATTCTCCCATATTTCCGATCCCAGCAAAGCAGCACTCTCGCATTTACCGGCGCTGGTGTAGGCTGGGGCCCGCTTCCATTTCTCTCGCATTATGCTGCATCCAAAGCAGCTCTTGACATCTTTGTTGAGGGTCTTGCCAAGGAAGTCAAATCTTTCAACATCAACTGCATGATCTTTGAGCCTGGCGGTTTCCCATCTCAACTTGGAGCAGCACGAGAGGGCTCAGTAGAGGGTTTCGGAAAGTACCAGCCGTCGATCGATGCATACAAGCCTCTCTTCGACGAGACCATGGGGGTTTTCGCGTCCGAGATCATACCTAATGTTCCAGGTGACATCAACAAACTATCGGAACGCATTGTTGACTGCGTCAAAGGCGAAGGTGTGTGCGCTGGAAGGCCGAAGCCATTGAGAGTCATTCTTGGGAGTGATGCACTTCGTCTGATACAGCAGAAGTGCAAGGAACAGCTGGAACTTACAAACACTTGGGAGGATATCAGTCTCAGTACTGACCGTGACGGGCATGACCACGTAGCGAGTCCGGGAATGCTCCGGTTGACATCAATTTTGTAATCAGAGGAGCTGCAGATAACTACTTTATAATTTCAACAACGGACAGCAGACATCAGTTAAGGCACATCATACCGAGACGATAATAAAGGGCCTGACAATAGGTCTACCCACATGGGGGGTAGCAAGAGTTGGGCATGGGGTTTCAAAGTTTCGAGACTACTATCGGTGTCTAACTTGGTTCCAGCATCATACTTGCTGATATTAGGAAATGGCCCTCAAGCACATCCATAAAAGATACTGCAGAAGTCTGCATCGCTGAAGGCCCTTGCATGTTAGGCTGTAGGTAGTCAGCCAAGATAGTGGCCTGGCTTATCCCCATCTCTGAACCAATCCATCTGAGAGTCCTCAAAAAGTACTCTCTATCAGGTACCGCAACTGTTGTACACCTCGCCATGACATATAGGGGATGCAGTAGCAAAAGCCCACCAACTATCCGTTGTGGCGTGTTTGATGTAGTATCGGCATCAGGGCGCTCAACGTACTCTTCAGGGTCTCTTGAGAGATGGTACGGAATGGACGCTTTTAGTTCAGCGGTTAAATGATTGATCTTGGCACGATGATCATTCACAACCTCCTGGCCAAGAGCCTGAGCAAGACAACTGAGATGATCGAGATAGAGGATACATATCGACCTCCAGGAGGCCCAGGCAGCAGCGACGTATTCTACTCACAATGTTAGCTGGAATCTCAGAGGGCTTGTCGTTGGGAATCGTACGGTCCAAATACTTGTACACTGGCCCTGAGCAGCGATATGCAGAATCATCTATGGCCTCACTTAGAACGTGGCCGACAAGTTTGGGAGCCCATGAAGATGGGCGATCAGTATCCCAATGCATGATGTCGCCTTCCAGTGCCAGCAAGTCTTGTTGTAACTGAACAAGATCCTCTGTCGATGAGTAGGGGTTCGCGAGAAGCTGTTCTGCACGAGCCGTAAGGGGTGACATATTGATAATAATCCGATCTAGGGAACGACGCGGCTTGTCACTGAGTGGCGGGGAGAAGACACCACGCCCAGTCTCATCGGAGGCCTTGTAAGGATTAGTAATGTTGCCCATGCTATAGAGTCATTGCAGTCTCACCCCAGTTTGTTTCAATATCAGGCCTGTCCCAGGAAGGTAAAGTTGGGCGGCGGAATTTTGGTGTAAAATATGGACTCCTTGTCGAAGAATCGAGTGAATGCCTTGTATATGGACCAGATACTTGGCAGGCGAAGCATGGTTACTCATGATAATCTGCCAAAGGGTTAAAAATCGTAGGAATCTTGGATGGCCTATCCAAAACTCACCTCATATAGCCCCAGCAATACAGCAGTGAGAAAATACTTGAATGAGACGCCTGCCTTTTCCTGTGACAAAGAGACGGTAAAGTCCATCAAAAGCTGGCCGTACCGTTTTTGCGCAGTCTCCAACAGACTATGCCATCTAGTACGGTTGGCTATTGACGCAAGGGTAATGACTCTGGCTGCAGAGATGAGGGTACAAGCGGGATTGGCATTGGCGAGTAGAGAATGCATCCCGTCCAGAAACCCTCGTGATTGTCCTCTATCGTGAGATGGGACAACGAAACTGTCTAGAAAGATGTCAAGTGCAACCTCTTCGAGCAGTACGTCTGTTTTAGGAGACCATCTGTCAAATTGCAATGTGCTCAGGTTATCAACAGGCTGATAATGTCGGAACACCAGCAACCCATCATCCTTGTAGCCGGGGCATACTCGACGAGATTTAAGACAGCGTTGGCAAGACTGGTAACGGAACGGTAAGTGGCTCATACTCTCCTAGCTTCCAAACGATGACTTACAGGTCGGGACTCGTCACACTAGACATGTCTCTTGTCAGTGTATCATGCATGACACAAATTCACGCCAAATGAACGAACCTTTTTGCGGCGTTTCTTGCACGTATCGCAGCCTCGGGAAACGCCGTAGTTAACCATATCTGTACAATCATGTGCTGTTTTCAGTGTATTTAGCCTTGGGAAAAAAGAAAATGAGCTTTCCTGGCCATTCCTTGGTGTCCAAATAAAAGCAAGAATGTAGCCTTTGATGAGCACCGTGAAGGTGAATCGTGCAACCAGTAAGCACGTGCTTGTAATTTAGCGGCGTGACAAATCATTATGTCTCTAGGGTAGGCGGAAACTTCCAACATCATTGATTTATCTTATCGAGCCCATCTTATCTTGACATTGCAAAGTCAATTCTGCAATGAGTAGGTAAAGTACACAAGGAGACCAGTCAATCGCGTCTATTTTTGCTTAGAATGCTAACTTATAGTAACGCTTAGCTTTGCCTAAAGAAGAAGTGCACAAGGCATTAGGTCATACTAGCTATGCTCATAACGGGCCAGAGTCGCAATGTCTGTCAAAATGCATCTCTTTCAGATGAGGGACATGCTGGCGCATAAAATAAGCCTTGCCGGCGTCTTGTACCAAAACCTCGTTACAGAGATGTCTGGATGTCAATTTGAAAGCTCCTTCGCGAAGCTTTCTGTTTTGACCATGAGATTATGTTGATCATATCCCCAATGGGCGAGACCGAAGCCGGCGTGGCGTGATACATCGTGTCAACGTCATTTTGACAGGAGATGTAAATAACGACGAGCTAGGCTCTTACCCAGCGCTGGGAGCAGTGCTAGATTGAGAACAGCGCGTCTAGATAGGCTTCTAAACAGAAACAGATATCGACTTTCATTTTGACAGACATTGCGACTCTGGACCAACAACTGCATAATTAAACCCTCATTGTGATACTCAGGTACAGAGGTAGTGTGAGTGGTGCAGGGTATCACACAGAGACGTACAACTGTATTAGAACTGAAGGTCGGAGTTTTCTCAAGTTGAAGCAGAGATTGATAAATCTTTCTTTCTATCTTTACATGGCTCCTTCATACTTCGTATACACCCAAAGTGAATTTCTTTTTCTTCAGCCGATCAACGAACCGCAAACCCAGTATGGAGGGTGTTAGCAAACCAGCTATAGGTGATCCGTCACCGTTAGCCTTGGGCATCTCCATAATCGTGGCTGCAGCTTCAACGGCTAGAATCGCAGCCATGTCGACCAGTGCACCTTTGTACCCAAATTCCGCCACGGCTGTAGGCTCCTTGCTCCCTTTGATGTACGCTGTAGCTTTCCACTCAGCACTTTCGACTCTTCTGCTTTCTTCTCTGTCTGGTCCAGATCCAGGATTAAGCGCCTTTCCACGAACAAAGGATCTGAACCAAGGAATACAGAGGAGGATAATCCCGAGCTTGGTGATAACGTGGACGACGGCGGCAGAGAAGAAACCGGAAGTTGGAATGTACTCGCGAAAAACGAAATCTCGACCGTAGGTTGGGGCGTTGAAGCTGGCAGAGCGTTGGACAACTGATTGGTTCCCCCACGCAACAAAAGACGTCCCGAGGTGGCCCAAGACTGGGTCATAACGATGACCAAGGAGACTAACTGCAGGTGTGTTGAGAGGCTTCGGTGTCTGAGACAAGATCCACGAGTTTCCATTCAGCCATCCGCCAATACCGCAGTGCTCGGCTACATCAAGAACAGTGTGAAGGGAGCCGCCTTGCATTCCCAACATGTTGAGTTTTCCTGAGCAAACGACTTCGGATGGTGCTGGGAGCCCATGGTCATGAAGATGGGTCACAAGCAGCCATGCCACCAGGTCGGATGGAGAGCTGGAGCCGGAGATGGCTGGAATAATAATGGCCCCCGACTGTTCCGCCAGGCTATGGTAGTCACGAATCATGTCGGCAATCCAAGCTGTCTCGGTGCTGAAATCGACGTAATGGGTGCCATTCCGAGCGCAGGACTCGACCACAAGGGTTCCATATCGGTGATAAGGTCCGATGCCGTTGATGAGAACCTTGGTGTTGCCAATGAGCGGGTCGAGACACTCGGAATCAAGTCGGGGAACAATATGGATTTCCGGTTCAAGTCGGTCTGGGTTGATAGCTCTTAAACTCTGCCGGAGACGTTCGAGCTTGTCGGCTGACCGACCAGCAATGCACCATCTCGTACTTGTTGGGAAGGTCTTGGTGATGTGTTCGGCACAAATAGTAGCCGTCCACCCGGTGGCACCGAGTATGGTGATTTCGAAAGGCCCAGCAGAGGCCATGATCTCACGTCAGGGTGTAGTGTGAGTGAGTAACCAAGTTGGACGGAGTTGTCAGCCCTTGAAGCTTTATATCAACTGTGACCTTTCGACCGAACACGACGGTCGAATATTCACGCAATTAATAATCTCAAGCTTTCCCGTATGACTAATTGCCGTGAGTTTATTTTCAGGTTCACGACGCTTTTCATGATAGCCACATCAACTGCGCAACGCTACCCTGATTAGGATGTTGGCAATCCAGTCTCGGCCGATTGGGAGACCAGGGGGCTAGTTCATAACGGGGAATTTTTGCGCGCTCAGGATGATAAGTGTGGAGGATTAATATTGCATCTAGCTCGCCTAAGAGTGGCCCTTTCCTTTTGCTCAAAGTCACGCACGTTCATGTAATTATTTGCGTTGGGGCGAAATCTTGAGGATCCTCGAGCAAGATATTTCCTCCTCCATAGCGTTGATGGTGTACGGACCGAAGCTCGATTTGCTTCTCCATTTTGGTCTAGGCCGTCACGATATCTATAGCATGACTGGTTTATACAAAGACAGATTCGATTCCAAGAGCTCAATCAGCAAGTCTACATCCACTGCTTATTTCCATAACGAGAAACAAATGATCCACTGTCCCCCTTCTTCAGCGAAGCCTCAAACATGACCCCCAGGACCGCCTTAGCAGAATGCTCCGGCGAGCTTGGGCCCCTGAAGTCGGGGGCATAGTTCACAAACTTGCTTGCCAGTCGAAGCGCCTTCTGCGTCTTCTCCTCAGTCACTAAGCACTATTAGCATTGGTATACGCACCCGCTTGGTTGGATCATACGTACTCTCCCCTTCGAAGTCAGTGTTCACGCTGCCGGGGCAGATGCTCATGAACAGAACGCCGTCCTTTGCGTAACGAGCCGCGAACTTTGCTACTACGACATTGACTCCCGCTTTGCTCACAGCATAAGGAGCTGCTGGCTCAATCTCGAACCCGCGGATGAATTCGACGTCCGACATGCCTGAGGAGATAGCAATCACCTTCTTGGCCCGACCATTGAGAACGAGAGGCGTGTAAAGGTTGAAAAGATGAACATTCCCAACCACGTTTACCTTGATTGAGTCAAGTATATCCTTTTCAAGGAGTTCTGGATTCTGGGCTCTTTATCATGTGTGTTAGTCTTGTCTTTTACTTGACCACGTGCCACACTACTCACAAGACGTCGACAGCGTCCCATGCGGACCAGGATGGGATCAGGGCTGCATTTGCGATGATGTAATCGAGCACACCAGAAGTAAGTTTCGAGACCTCTTGAACAGAGTCCTGAGGTGATTGTTAGCTACAGAGTATATACACCGCAAATGTCTTGCCTTGAGGGCATTATAGTTGGTGACGTCGGCTTCGACAATGCGAATATTTTCCGGAGAGCCGAGCTCTTCCGCGATCTTTTTCTCGGTAGATGACTTGTTTCTCACAAGCCCTACAACAAGATTCTCACGATCTGCCGAGAGCTCCTTGAGAAAGGCGAACTACAATTGGGCACATGTCAGACATATAGGCAAAGTTGACAGCACTTTGGCCAGCTTACCCCCAGACCACGCGACGCTCCGGTCACTAAGAAGGTAGGCATATTGAGAAAGAAATGAGAAATCGTGGAGTTGATAACAGAGGTGATGCGTATCAGCTGCTGATGCTGCTCGTGGTCGTGGTCGCGGTCGTGGTCGTGGTCGCGACATGACAAGACTCATAAACTCGCACACACCTCGCGTCCCTCCACACAGAGTTGGTATTTTCGGTATCTTGATTTCAAAGCCTTTGGGTTCATTTCTTGGCTGTGTATTTGTCATTAATAGACATCCGTGAAGCTCGGTGCCTCCGTGGAGCGCAAAGATAGTCTTGAGAGACGGTTCGGCATGGGACTGCGCAATGATTTCCTAATGGATCTCAACATACCCTTGTCAGCTGCCCTCCGTCAACGTATGAAGTGGGTCTCAGTTTCAAAGTGGTTTGATAACGTGTAACGCCATGCCTGCTGGTCTTCCAAACGAGTTATAGTCCCTGCAGCGCCGTCTTGATATACTCCTGCACTTGGTTCCGTGATTGTTGAGAGCATGTTGTATGATGAGCTTTGAGTAAGTACGCGTGAGATATTCCGTATAATCTCATGAAATCCCAAGCATAAACTCAAGGCAGCAGTCCTCCGGTGATGTGTAAATTCTCCAACACACATAGGTAAATCTCGTGACGCAATAGTCAATGCTTCAACAACTTATGCAGTCACTCACGCAGTTGCGGATACTTTGCGCAAAGCTAACTTGAACCGGAAACGTAGGAGGTATGCCAAGACACAGTGAGTTATGAGTGGCAAGGGGAGCCTCATTACCAAGCACCCGTGATGGGTTCGGCCGAATTCGACCGCGTGAAGATCCCCCAGTTTCTTGATCATATCCCAGAAAGCGCTGATTTTGCAGACTTGGCTGACCAAATGTTGAAGAACCACGCCATAACGCTTTCTCACATGTCAGCTCATATCAACGAGGTCTTGGTCGCAAATCTCGAATGCTGTTGTACACGCCTATTTATTACTCTACGAATAAGACAGAAACCCTACTCTTGCTTTTGTAGCTTCACCTCTAAGCCCTTGGCCGCTGCCTCCACCTCCCTCATGCTCATCGTCTCTATCGCGGGAACTTGGTCCTTGAGTAAGAATGGCAGCACTGAGCTCTTCCACATCACGCCGGTATCCTTGTTCAGCAACTCCTTCACAATTATCCAAGAGATCATCACGATGCACAGCACCAACAGAACTAAAGGCAGGGAAAACCAGGCCCACGCCACGTGGAGACATGTCCGATTCTCCCAAGCATCACCTTTGGAGGCTGTGCTGGCCATTGCGTATGGGCCCCAACCAGCGCGGCGCATTTCAGTCGTGATTCGCATGGCCATAGAGTCGATATTTTCTCTGATCGAATCGAGATTGGTAGTGCGAGAGCGTAGAATAGCGGCCATGGCCAACGAGTTTCCGCCGTATCTACCAAAGCAAGCGACGTATTCTGTTTGGAACCCTTGTGGTCTGCAGTAAGCATCAAAGGTCTCCGTCAGCTCTCGCTGAAAGGCCTCGATAAAGGCCGGCCAGAGCGATGCCACGCACTCCTGAGGTGCCGTGACATTTGTGTACTCAGATGGAGTGTCGAGGTCCTCGGTAGCCCAGTCCTTCGAAAGAACTGACACGGTTTGTCTAGCAGATGATGGCAGCTTCTCGGAAGCAGATGTCATATTCGACGAGGTGTAGAGTGTTCCGTTGACCAAGCAGGGTGTTTGGACGCCTCGCATAAATGTCTGGGGGAGCGACTCACCGCCATCCCAGAGCGGCTCAGACTTTTGTAGACGAAGCGGCGTGTTCTTGACTGCTCTCTCTTTAAGGACGCCATTTTTGACTTGTCCAGCGTAGTGCTTGACACAGGGGTACATGATGCAAGTGGCCGCAATGTAATCCGTCGGCTCGCTCCAGGCTTTGGCATCTGAGCTGTTGCTTGTACTCAGAGGACACGATATAGTGCCATTGTCCAAAGTTTTGCAGTGCTCTTGTGAAAAGGCGAGTATGGTGAAATTGGCAGCTGACCAGCGAGCAGTGTTAACAAACTCACGCGGCACCACCTTGCGCGCCCAGGTGAGATTTCCTGTGAGGCCAGCACTCAGATATTGAGTGCCTGAGGTGGCAGGGTTTCCCGTCTTGATTTCAAGTCGTTCTGTGTCGTTGCCTGAGCTGGCGGCGCCCGAAACAAGTAGGCTGACGGTGATTTGCTCAGTTTTCGGCCGAGGCACGTAGACAACTCTCTCGACCAGCTCCGAGACATCTTCGCAGCGGCTGCACATGCCTAGGCTAGCGTGAGAGACCTTCTCATTTTCAGGCTGCCCTGGATGGTCGGCGTAGGCAGTAAAGGTGCAGTTTCCGGAGGGGCAAGTAAAGAGCGCAGCAATGTTGGAGTCGTTGGATGGGTTCACGATGGAGTCTTGCATGGCCGACCGTAAGCCAACGTGGAGAGCGAATGCAGATGGACGCTCCTGGAAGTAGAGAGACTGGTCGATACGGTTAGCCACAGAAATAGCAGCAGGACGTCCTTCGACAACGCGAGCGCAATAGTAGGTTTGCATTGTCTGCTGCGTCATGGGTCCGACAGCTAGAGACACGACGACTACCATGATAGCGATCAGGGCCAGAGGCTGGTGTAGAGCCACGAGCGGTAGCAGTTCCAGGGATCCCCAAGCGCCGCGCGAAGCATCATCAAAGCGCTGTACGTCGCTCATCGGCCTGAAGCGTCCTGATACCCAATCCCATTTCAACTGTGCCAGCACTTGTAGTGCAACAAATGCCAGGATAGCACGGAATATGGTGGCAATGATAGCGACGAGGGCGTTGAGCGTGATACCTGCGCCACCAGTACCGTTGTTGTTACCGTCCCAATTGGGCACTTCATCGTCGCTGTACGCGATCAAGATGCCGTAGATGGAGGCCAATAGCCCAACGGCCAGTAGTAGGAGGGCCAGTTCTAGGCTCCATATTAAAAAGATGTTGCCTTTCTGTTGACGGCGCTGTGAAGGTGACTTATTGACGTCCTTGGTGGCCGTGTCTCGGATGAGCAGGCCAGTGGTTTTAGGGGATGGTTCAGTGCTGTGGCTGCGTCTGTGGCCAGCACTATGGCTGTCGTTTCTGCCAATTCCAGTTGTCACGAAAGAAACATCTCCATGTGTCTCGTCTGTATCGTAGGTGCTATTTCGACCATTGTCGTCATTATCATGGCCTTCATTGTGAGATCGTCTTGCTATCGTTGAGGAAAGAGGCTGGAGGAGAAATTGAGATGACTCATTTGACTCGGCCATGGTGGATGGATCGATGGATTCAACGCTAATTTCACGACACCAGCCAGTATGGAGAGATCTCCTTTTAAGAAGCAAACAGGCCCTCGCACGTGCGCCCTTGGCATGCAGCTTGGCCAGTTGTATTTCCCTCAGTCAGCCTTATCCATCCTCAAATCTGCCGCTGAGAGGCACAGTTGATCTTGAACCAGGATCATCAGGACATGTTTGCACCATAACGGGGCTGGGGCAAGGCAGTGTGGGGTCGTGTTAGAGAAGAATCAAGCATGATTCGCCTACTTTGGCTCGCTTATCAGCATTCTCGAAAGACGGGAGACAGCCCTAAACAAGACCTCACCAGGCAGCAGAACCCCAACCAACGAGAAAGACCGTCATGATTTGAAGCATAACTGCCTCACTTTTGATGGTCCTACATTGGCCCTTTGGGCAGCTCGTTACTCAAAAGGCCTCTTCTACCTCGATGTGTTGCCAAGAGAGCAGCAAACCATACGTAATGATGTCGTCCGCGCTTTGGACTCGGATTCTACGGCCTCACATTGCGCGCTGTTGAAGTAGGGCCAAAGCCTGGTGCCAGGCTGCGCAAATCCATGGAGCAGTAGAGGGCGAGGAGGGTTATTGAACTGCTGTTGGTCAAGTAGTTGCCCACGTCGGCATCGCTACTGCCGTGCGTCAAGTTGCCGATCCCAGGCATCAGGAGATGCATGCGTCAGTTAGGCGCTCAAGACCTCGCACAGCTCTTCTAGAGTCAATCACAATGCTCCGTCGCTTTGGTGTTTGCAAACTCGAGGGCGCCGCCGATGTGTCGGTTTTCCAGAGGTCGTAGCTTTTTGCGTAGACGTTTTGTGATGATGGGTCACGGCGAGAGTCATTCTGGTGCATGGCCCTCCCTTCTTCGGCGCTTGATGTCGTGTGGTGGGCGAGGACTTTGAGGGTGCTGTTGTGATAGGCGGAACGATGTCCTGTAACCGCAACCGCCGCACAGCTCCTCGCTGCCAGTATTTTTCACAGACGCGAGATCCATGTGCAGAACAGTAAAGAGTCTGCCATGCTACCAGAGAGTTGACGGCATGATGTAGCCAGCAAGCACATCGCGTATCTTTCGGTCGAATTCTTCAGGGTCGGTCTCGAATGCATCATCAGAACCAAGAAGGGCAGGGCGCTCGCTTCAAAACTGCCACGCTGGCCGCGGTATCTTCCGAGGGTGTGATCGCTAGGTCAGATGGCATCATAGTTCGGCGATGACCGAGTTGGTCGTTGTTTCTGGAGGAGCCCATGGCGTTGAGTATCCTCTCAGATCACTCAGATCTGGACAACTGGACTCGCAGGTGAAGTACGCTCTCGAGGCGGAAAGAATCGTGGGATGCGGAAGACGGCAAGAGCTTTTCGAAGTTCGTCTGTCGAGTTCGTGAGGCTCCATGGAGAAGGGGAATTATTATTCGCTTATGACCATCGACGCGTTGTCGTTTCGGGTCGTTCATTGTGAGGATCGTTCGTGGGGGGATCGGTCGCGTGGGGATCGTTCGTGTAAGGATCGTCCGTCTGGCACCGTAGCCCAGGGGTGTTATTGCTTTCAAGATGGCGACGAGGGTAGACATGCAGGAGGATGCGTCTTCGTGTCGGTTGAGGTGACGCTTTTGTTGGATTGAGTGATGTTGGTGGGTGGCGTGCGCTGCAAGCTGGCGGCGGGGTGGTTCCCCCGGGCCGAGCGACCAGTCTTTACAGGGAACAGTGCAGGAACCTAGAAACCTAGAAAGGCTCAGCTGGCAGTCTTCCACAGTCCGCAAATAGCTTTTGTGAGGCACGAACTCCTTCAAAGTCTCAATGTGAAATTCCAGGCTCCCAACTCCTGCAACGGATGAGCCTTCCAGGCTTCCCAGCAGGTAAGGTAACTAGTTACCTGACGAGCATCTCTCGGGGCCCCTCTAGCCGTGGCCTTAATTTTGGGTTCCGTATGACTGAGTTCCCCGGCTCCAGTCCACCCCACTTTCTCATTTTGGGCATTAATATTCTCTGCCTTCCATCTCAGGTGCATATCTGCGCCTTGTCGGGTTCCCTCTTTCATGGCCATAAAAACGGTGTTGTGCGTGCAGGGATCCTTCTGGTATGGTGAATTTGCCCATCTTCAACTTCCACTTCTGTCTAAACTCTTACCTGAATGGGGCTCGTCTAGCGATGCACAGCAAGATGCCTGAAGGGCGTGACCTCGTAATGGCCAGAGAAGTATTGCACGCAAACCAGGAGCAGTCGGCACAATCAGAAGCCTTTCATTAAGGTACTTTTCAGGTTTGCGAGGTGGGCAGGTGCCACTTTCTTACAAGGTGTTCCTGTCCCAATGAAAGATCCAGAAACGGCCTGTGTCGTATGTCTTATTACGAGGGTCACTGGACTGTTGCAATGTGTTTTCCCAGTCATGATGTGCTACCGCCGCGACTTTCGTGTTCTTTCATTATAGAAATTCATTTCATATTGAGTCAAATGACGTGGACATCAACCTTGCTAAACTGTGGCTGATGAGTGACTTCGGTGGCCATTCAGAGACCGGCCACGACATATGCAAGGGAGAGCCCCTTTTAGGAGGGACGAGATTATTCCCATGCTACTCACTACGTCACTTATCAATGGTATTTAGTCAGTCAACATATTCATTCTCACATTTAGCCAGGTTTGTTCCCCATCGTCATCGTCTGTGAGTCGTTTCTTAAGTGAGAATCAAAGCAACGTTGTCGTCCCTGACAGCCCCAGCATGATGAGTCCCCCTCGTTACAAGCGCCATGGAGGTTTCTGGGGACGAAGCATTAGTACGAATACTTTTGATTTCACTACAGCACCTCCATCCAAGCTGGAAAACGGGCAGAGAGGTCCCGATGGTTTCCCGCGAGCGCCAGCTGACAAGAGGACTCATCTCGTCCCTCCACAGAGCGACAACCATGTGTCCCCTCAACCCTTGATGGGTAAATGCACTACCCTCTTCTCGTGGTAGCAGACATGTTACTAACACCATACTCTTCAGCTCGGTGGAGTACGCAAGAGCAGCCTACACAACTCTTCCACAGTCCCGAGGCACCATTTGAGATTGGTGCTGTGCCGCCCCTTGATCAAGACCCCGAGTGGCCTCTCTTGAACAGCCCCGTCATCGTGCTTCCTGATTCCTCAAAACCGGGCCGGCCTCTCCCAAGATCTGATGGATTCGCTTCCCTGTCAGAGCTCTCCCGTATCCATGACAAGGAGAACATTGACACCCCTGAGCCCGAAGACATCGACCTTGATCTAGAACTCGACAAGCAACAAATCTCCCTGCCTCGCCGCGACAAGATCATTACACCCGCACAGTTTGAGAACTATCTTGAGATTCGGGTCCGCGAATCTCATGTACGAGAAGCTTGGAATGAGGCCGAGCAGCAAATTCATGAGGATGACGATCAGGAAGAGATCGATTACGACACGGCCGACGATGAGGATATGTCCAAGCAGCTTGCAGACCAGAGAAGACACCAGGCAGAGCACATTGCCAACTATCGCCAGCGAATGATCAAGACTACAGGCGACACTAGCCTATCTCCCGTTGAGCAGTGCAAGCCTCCCACCCCCAAAACACCCTCACCAGCCCCGTCAACAGATGCACGCGGTACTCCGCCTACTCCACTTCACGAAGACAAGGCTTCTGTCAAGAGCGGCCAGTCAACAAGATCAAACAGAATGAGATCTAACTCGAGCCCACGACCAGCTACTCGACAGAGCTCCAGGAGGCGAGCTGGTTCCACCCCCAGCCAAGCATCCAGGCAAGGCTCCCACTCTCCGTTGCCAGAGTTCGCCCGTGGTCTTCCCCAAGACCCATTCCCCAACAGACGTGATAGCGTCACCCGAACCAACAAGTCTGGATACCCTTGCAGCGTGGTCCCCATCTCACCGCGCACCAAGCTCATGCGTCCACGGCCACTGCGCCGTGCGAACCCCAACGCAGGCAATCAGCAAAGCTACATTCCTCACATGAAAGGACAGCAAAGCTCTCTCAACTGGGCTGGTGGAGCCCTAGCATACCGGTTGGGTCAGATGTCTTCCCCCTGTCGCATGCCTGGCACGCAGCATACGCCACTTCGGCCGCCTCCGTCTCAGTCGACCTCAGGTGCAGGATCAGAGGCGCAGTATTAAATTACTCGGATGTTATAAAGTGTACTTTGGAGAATGAACGGTATTACGATTTAATGGAATCACATTGTTAGCTGTGTTGGCTTTGCAAGGCAAAGCCTTGTGGGTGTGTCGGTAAAACAGGTAGCGAAGCTTCAATATGTATGAAAAGGCAGGGTCAATATTTGCTCAGCGTTACTTATGATCAAGGATTTCTTTCATATTTATTTAAAATCTGGTTTGCTAACTCGCACTCTGAGCAAGTCATTGACCACTATCAAGACAAAAACAAGCGAACGACCATGGGGGATATCAATCCCTCGTAGATTCTTATTCATGCCCTATCTTGAGCAATTTTTTTTAGATCTTGGAGGAATTTCATTTAGTAACATTCTGATGATAAAACTAACAGGATATAAGGTAAACCACAATTCTTCTAGAATCGCTTGCAGGGTTTTAGCAAGCTGGGACTGTCAATCATAGCAGAGTTGAAAGAGGGCATCAAGTCAAAGAGCACAGTTCTTAATACACCAGCATGCTTTCTAATGCTTTTATACACCAGGGAAAAGGTCGTACGTAGGTTTTGGGTCATTCCTCTCTTGTGAGAGTGGCATATTGTTGATGCCAGAGCCCTGGAGACGTTGGTGATGGTGGCCAGGGCAGATGACACTTTTCCGGCCTTTTAATAATGCTCGGTTAATTAAGGATGAGTGCAATGATTTTTTTGTAACCTAATGCACATTTGTACTTCTCGAGTCCATTCATTCTCTCATACATCATCCATCGTGTGAAGCATAGGAAACGGAGGAAGTTAACGAGTAAGTGTGGGAACACGTCTTGCGGAAAAGGTTGGTCAATAAAATACCAGTACTGAAGCTTGATTCTTACTTTTGATCACATCTGATTCATGTACTGTTGGTCTGCGTCTTTTCTTTTTGTTGCCTCGTGACTTGAAAGTTCTTGCAAGAGAGGAAAGTTTTGCTTTACACTCTCCCTCATGCACCTTCAATGAAGATGAAAAGCTAAAAGAAAATTCTGTCTGATAAATAACTACTGTCCTTCCTCTTCATAGAGAGCGAAATATGAAATATGTGGCTACAAATCTCAACAAACCTCAACATCAACCGCCATGGATACCTCCACAACTAGCAATGCCTCCGCTGCCGGATTTCCCTGGTACTCGTTGTTTCCGGAGATCCGTCTATTGGTCTTGCAATGTATTTTGCCCAAAAATGAACATGGAGAAACCACCGTCGACCGTGGGTTCCCCAAAGCTTCGAGCTTGGCTGTCGTGTCTCGCGAGTGGAGAAGGTTCTTCGAAAGACAACATTTCGTCGCATAGCTCTCACATCTTCAGATCTCCCCGAATTCTCAAAAGCAGTTTCAGGGGAGAATTCTATCCGATTGAGCTACATTGATCGTTTACGGTTTTATATCAGACTTGCTCAATACACTGAATGCTTATTCGATAAGCCGGAGAGTGCGGATAATATCAAGTGGTAGGTGCTAGTCTATTCCTAAGGCCTGCGCGAGATATAATAATCTGAGTAATAGGAACAACCAGGCTTTTACGCGGGCCATGGTAATTTATCTTAATGCGTTATCCTCTTGGAATGGCCTTCGTGGAGGGCTCACGTTGGAGATTACCGCTTACTCACCCAGCGATGAGATATTCCACCCTCTTTGTCTCGATATCCGGAACGAATATCCGTTCCGATTCGAGGAGGACTTGGAAAAATGCCCAAGCTATTTGGAATATTATAAGAAGAAAAGGGCAGACATAATGAGTTCCGAGGTCATACGACGCTCGGCTGTGGTCCGACGCGGAATGGCACAGCGGCTTCATGGAACGCCGCTTGAGCTTCAGCCGTGGCTAGTTGAAAGGGAAAAGAGGTTCAGCAACCAAACGCGGAGTCTGGCAAGAGTTCCGATAGTGAAGGGACTTATCCTCCGTCGAAGCCTCTTCAGAGGAATTACGGGCAAAGCATTGGCGAAACTCTTTCGCGAAAGTTTCGTGGCCCTTGAAAGATGGGAAGGGCGGACAAAGGAAGACGATGACGCCTTTCTGACTGGTAAGAGAAACCTACCTAATAGAAGAAAATGAGTGAGGTTTAGCTAATATGAGATTCTAGGTCTCCAGTCGCACTTGATGCCCAACCTCCCTGTTGGTGTTCGGAGCTTTTCACTGATACAGATGCAAATCTTGGCCCATCGCTATCAGGCTACTCATGAAATTGTCGGGCCACTATTACAGCTGATGGCAAAATCATGTCATCGCTTCACCAATTTCTGCCCTCCCCTTGAGCTCAACGCCAAGGCATTTTTCAAGCAATTGATCCTGGAAGCAAAGCACACGAGATCCAAGTTAGAGTGTCTTACTCTTCGGGCAGATTCATTGCGACCATCCACAAGCCAGCAATCGGTAACGGCATTGCTCACTGCTGCCGGCAGGGCAGCCAACAAACTTCCTCGGCGGCGAGTCATCGAGCTGTGGAACTCCGGTCAGGGCTATGGATATTTGTTCCGCTACGCACAGAAGGATCGTCGAGCCACGATAACTTGGCGGAGCGCTGGACAGGATTTTGAGTTGGCACCCCAAGTGATTCGAGTGTGGTCAAAAGTGGCCGGGTCCCTGACGCTCATCGTGGAGAAAAGTCCATTTACGGAAGATGAGGTCGGATCGAAGGGGTTCAAGCACAAGACTATTCTCAGTCACTTGGCTCTGCGGAGGCTGATCTTCGATCCCATAACCGAGGCACAATGGATAGTTATGACGAAGCCATGAGTAGAGTTGTTTGAAACACAAGTTTGGGATCGGTACGAGCTAGAAGGTCGACGAGACTGTAAGAAGTTGGAATGAAAAAAGAGCATGACCACAAGAGGCATATTCAGTTCACTCTCTCGCTTAGGAAGAGTGACTTTTAGGCCGTTGAAGAAGAACACAGAAGATGTTCAGCTACTCAGAAGATGCTCCAGCAGTACATGTTGTGAGAAAGTACTTCACGAAGTCCATAGAATCCCGGGGGTGCTGGCTGAAAGGATCCATGTAACACAACGATGGATGGAATTGGGTGATCTGTGTTTGTGCCTGTGTCTCACCATCACCACAAGGGCAGTTCAGCGCTCAATGATTCTGTCTCATTATCTCGCCTAAAAGCACCAGTAGCATTTTTCTGGGGGGGGGGAAATCAATGAACCGGTAGTCAAACGCGCGAGAGCTCGCCCTCTGGTTGGGGTATCACAACTCGGCTCACTTCCTTGAACTCAAAGCATGTCCGTCCATCGTCAGAAAATAAAATGGTTCCCACAGCGACAAACGCCGTTGTCTCCTGTTTATAATACAATCCGTGACCTTCTCGGCCGTTGAATTCACAATAAAACACCCAACTAATCGTCTGTCAAGTCGATCGCCTCCCTCCCGTTGGAGAGCTTCACCATCTTCAGTGGTATCTTTGACATTGTCTCGTTCTCACGCTCGCGTTTGACTCGGGCTGGGGCTTCTGGCTTGATCTAATCAACAGTCAGCAACAAGAAACCAAGCGTTATATACATGCCAAAATGACAGTCTCAGTAGGGCCGATGCTTGCCTTGCCACCCTCTTCGTCGGAATTGGTGAGGTCTTGGATTATCTTGATAGGTGCAGCCGATGGTGGTGATCGCGGTACTACCATTTCATGGTCAAGAGCATCTACGGCAGAGTTAGTGAGCTTGAGACATGGCCAAGGCGGGAGAGCAACGCACCGCGAGACCGGTAATGGAAATAAAAGACGGCAATCTCGGATCGGTTCTTGATGATGGCCTTCCTGAGTTTAGGCTCATAGGCACGTCCAGGCACGGTAACAAAGCTATATTCCATTAGAATAGAGATGTCAAAACGGGCATAGGATTCCTACCTCGCACCATGGCTTAGTTCTTTGCCCTTCATGGCCTTCTCTGCAACTTCAAGTGACTGAGTGTGATCGATGGCCTGCTGGGAGCTCGATCCCGGATTCCGAACATCACTGGATGCTCGGCGAGAGCTTGGTTTCAACTCCCGATAACCCCCCAACCTGCCGACTGCAATGACGACTTTGATGGTGCCCAGTTCTTGCACCCGTTTGGCATCTCTTGCAACCTTGTCGCTTTCCATGTCCTCGGCTGAGAATCGTGTTAGTCAAGCCATTCACCATTGTGCTCTGTACCTAGGTGACGGACTTGTCGTGACTGGAGCAAAGATGAACTTTTTGTAGACTTCTCGGTTGAGGGCCGTGTCGAACCTGGTCGTTTGCGAGACATGGCATGTTGTAGGCACATTGTCTTTTCGAACTCTCGCACCGGTTTCCTTGGATCCGTCAATGAAGACACGATTGAGCAGGATGTCGTTGCTTCCGGGGAAGGCAAAGGCAGAGGTGACGTCGACCCTGATCTTGAAAGCTGCGCCCGTCTTGGATTCAATGTAGCGATGACATGCCGGTAGTCGGGCGAGGCTTTGGTCTGTGTCGGTGGGTATTTCGCTGTCGTCGGGTGGCTCGTATTCGGTCGCTGGCTGCCCCGCCACTATCACGGAGGCGAAGAGGCCGGGGATATCGGGGAGGATCGCCATGTTGAGAGGAGACGAGGCTCACTAAATGCTAGCGATGCGGCTGGGTAACAATGAAGGGAACGAGGTTGAAAGTTGTATCACAATTCACAATGAATCAACGATTGGCCGTTTGGCCAGCCTGATGTTTGATGTCACGTGTTTTCAGCCTGCCAGTCGTTTCACCAGCCCCAAGTCTGCATGCGCCGCTTGAGGCAGTGCGATGAGCCACAGTGGGCTGGGGAGGCAGTGGCAGGATAGGTTGTTGAGGTTTTGCTGGTTTAACAGGGTTGCACGGGGCCCCTAAGGCAGCCGAAATGTTATCATTCTCGTGGGTCCCAGGGAGAGTGCCCACTTCTGAGCCGCCAGGCGGTTCAGGCATGGTGGATTTCCTCATCAGCAAGAGAGTTTATTGTTAGCGGCAATGCTTGGGTCTTTTGGGTCCAGTGCAAACGGCCGACAAACAACAACCTAGACAAGGAACCTACCCCCATTCTTCAAAAGAGCGTCTAGCCACAGACCCAGCACGATAAATAGACTTGGAGGTTGCGGTGAATCTCATAGCACTCCAAGGTACCTTAAGCAGAAGAGGACAGGGTGATCTTTAACAGATGGGGGGACCTGCGCAGTCTTCATTTAAGGCCATCAATATAAATGCTTTCGGCACAGCCCAGGGAGGGCGAATCTGTATAATTCATCAAGAAATGAAGTGCTGGTACTGGTACCGGTACCGAGTCATAAAGAATACGTTTTTGTCCTCGCTTCCTGGATCCATCAAAGCCGCCCGTACATCTTCCCCAATGGGAACCCGTCTCGTGACTCTGAAGTTGATTATGTTGTAGACTTGAGTATCTCGATCTCTCGGATAAGCTTCTCAGTCCCCCTGGCCATGTGATTGTTTTGCTGGGAAACGTGTTCAAACTCAAAAGTCATGTCAAGGGACCACGAGCCGTTATCATGGGCTCATCTTTCAGACCTGAGTAGCTGAGTCACCCACCGTAAATCATGAAATCACCTCTCCGCAAATTCTATTTGAACCTGAGTTTTTCACCCTCCATAACTCACGGGTTTTGGTTTTGCAGGTGGAAGGTGCTTTATTGGGTGATTGTGACCCCTGAGGGCAACCAAAAATTGATTGCTCTCCTTGACCGGATGCTGATTCATCATCATCGTTACTTTTACCTCTTAGAACAGGCAGCGTTATAGATTTGATCATTCAAACTTTCAGACAATTCGATATGCTAACTAAATGGAGACCTATGCTTTCTATTCCCAGTTCTTATGTAGTACAGGCTCCGTCCCAGCCTGCATGTTTGCCTGCAAATCTTCTCGCGGAACGGTCCCTTCGGGCCCCGAAAGTCGTTTTGCTTACCTATTTTGCTTGCTCCAGTGTCACATTGCGTCTCCTGTCGGGCCACTATTGTATCCTTCTCCGCAGTTAAGCCCGATCACCCTGCGCCTTGCAGGCCCGGTTTCCACCAATGAAGATGAAAGATGGTGTGGTCTGGACTCAGGGCCGGAGACGATCCATTGAAAGGTTCCTTTCCAGTGGCTATTGTTACTCATATGACATCTACAAGAACCCAACCAGGTAACGAAACGATCTTTTGAAGTTCTTTAGTCAGAAAGTTAGTTGTTCTTTGGAAGCCCTTTCCTCTAGGGGCAGGTTTGATACACATTGGTATAGCACCATAACGACTACACGCTAAACGATCTTCACATAAAACCAACATAATCCAAGCTCCAAGTCATCTGGTCTAATTTGCTAATATTCCCGTCTGAAATATTGCTCTCAGAGAAGCAAGAACATAAACCCCCACGTGTCTATGGGCATTTCTGAGAGAATCTGATCTTGTTCATGTGGCTCGGAACTCGGAATGGGCACATCATGCGAGTCTCCCGATTTCGCTCATCCATCGGGACCAACGTGTTACTGCATCCCAACTCGAACAAGACCAGGAGACAAAAGATCCTCCCCGTACGGCGCACCAACAAGGTAAACACTACGAGCCCGCATTGCAAGGAACCGCTTGTGGGGGCATCTGAGCGGGATGAAGCGAAAACCCCCCGGACACGCCGAGGCTCAGGTCAGCCCTAGTAAGAAGCTTGGTTGTTCCCCTGCGTGGCGGGTGGGCAACCAAGTGACACCATTTTATCTAATCAATCAGCTAATCAGCAAACTACACCCCCATTTAGAGCCTAGCTTCAACCCTCAGCCCACTACTTCACCCTTGTCCAGCGGCACGAGAGCGGGATCCTCGCATTAGGGCGAATTCTCCAGGTGCCGACCAGCCGTGGTTCTCGCGGCTGAGGCCTTCCCCCCACGGAGCGGTTTGTTGGGCCATTGAGCGTAGTATGTAGCTTGACATCGAGTTATGTTGGTATTTCTCCAAGTATAAGTAGCTCGTCAAGGCCTTCCCAGGTCAATCATCATCCAAACAGACATCTTCAGTTACTTAAGAGTCAATTCTAATCCTCCAACCTTCACCATGTACTCCCCCGCCGTATGTATCAACACCGACTTCCAAAACCCCCCAGCTGCTTACACATCGTCTAGAAGCTCTTTGTTGCCATCATGGCCTTCACCACTGTCACCGCCTCCATGCCCGCTCCCGAAAACGCCGACAGCCAGAACCTTGAGGCTCGCGGTGGCTGCCTTGGCTACGCCAACTACGCCGCGTGCGTTGCTGGCAGGCGACGCTCTTGCCAGCCTGGAACCGGCCAGTCCTCGTGCTTCAACACCGCCCAGCGTGTCTGCCAAGCCAACTGCTAAGCGGTCTATGGAGATAGAGGACTGGAACGTTGGTGTTGACAAATGCCCTAGCGGGATTCGAAAAGCCCCATACTCCATAGTCAATGGTATCAATGCAACACATCCTGGAACAGTGTGGACAGCGGTCATTTGGGATCTTGAACTTATTCAGTCACTTTCAAGTCTTCAAGTCATGTTTAATGAAGAATGCTAGATTACAAGCTACCTAGGAATATGGGCTAAAAAGCTAAGCTAGTACTTTGGATGTCTAGGCCCTTCAACTCTTCCTCTCGATAACCGGGTGAACTGTCTCAATATCTCCAGTCTTGTCTGCCATTGCGTTCAACTGTTGCTCGGCAATTTCATCGGCGGGGATTCTGTCTGGTGTTGTGTTGACCAACATGATCATTGGGAGAAGAGCAGCACCAAGCAGAGCAAATGTAACACAACTAAGGAAATTGTTAGCAGATATGCCTTGTATGAGGTGCATACACAGAACTTACAAGCCAACGAGAGGGTCACTCGTCGTCTGAGTGTTCATACCGTAGGCAATAGCCTGACCAATGGCCTCAAGACACCTAAACGCAGCTCCGTTGCGGACGTTTTCTAGAATGACCGTTAGCATTCCCAATCAGTATCAGGAACGATGAACCTACCTTGAGCATTCATCGCGAACGAAGAGATGAGCCAATACATATATGACTGCGACAACGGGCCGGTGGTTTGCACGAAAAAGTACGGCAGGAAGGAAGAAGGGTATAGGCCATCGTCCCAGTCGATAGCACCCGGGTCATTGCGCTTGAACTTGGTCTGCATAATGATGGACCAAATGTAGACACCGACGTTGAGGGTCACGACGATATAGAGACCGACTTGGGCGCGGCGGCGCTGTGAAAGATGCTTGGAGTCGAGGATGAAACCAAGGCCGAAGCAGCCGACACTAGAGAGGTATTAGTAGGAGCCAGCCAAGAGCAAGTATGGCCATAGACTTACATGCACAGAAACGGCGAGATGAGTGATGAGAGTGCGCGAGCGCGGACGGTGAAGTGGATTCCCAGGTACGTGGACCAAGAGCCGCTATCCCTTGGTCAGTTTCCAATTCTGTCATGGGGGAGGTACCGCGAGTTATAGTACCTGTAGAAGAAAGACCAGAGTGCCCAGAGTGCGGACAGCATGATAAGTCTTGAGGTCATGGTCTTTGAAATTCGCTTGATCTCCTGCTTGGTAGAAAGAGCCTCCTCGGTGACGATGTGTGTGCCATCGGATCGAATGACGCGTTCGAAAGGCGTAATCATGAAGGCGAATGGCAGACTGGAGCCTGATTAGCAGATCAGAACACAAATGATGGAGTTCTACTTACGCGAGGCACTCAATAATGAGGAAAGCAATGTACGTGTCAGGAGTAACTCCACCGCTGACACCCTTCTGGTAGTTCTTTGACAAGCTTGAAGAAGATTGTTAGCCAATCACATATGCATCAGCTCTGAAGATACTCACTTGATCGCACCACCAACAAGCTGTCCGAGATTTCGAGACACAATCCACAGAGCGAGATACTTGCCACGCGCACTAGAGGGTGCAAGGGTCATGATTGCACCGGCTTCAGCAACGTACCAACAGCCGGTGCCAATACCGTCGATGGCGCCGCCAAGAATGAGATACTGAATGATTAATCCTTGTCAGCGCATGCAATCTCCAGGATGCATCGAAGCCGACTCACCCATTGGTTACCAAACTTGCTGTTGCAGTAGTAGGAGGATCCTAGAATGGGGAAGGACATGGAACCGATGACCAGAGCCCACTTGACGCCCAGCTTGTTAACAATGGGACCTCCGAAGAAGCAAGCTAAGTTGTTAGCCAATCGAACGTTTCATATGCGTAAATACGTACTTGTAGCAAGCATGGCATATGTAAGGGCTGTGGCGATATTGGACACTCGAGGAGTCGCAAGACCACCACCACCAAGGCCTATAATATTCGCATTAGCGGGTGGCATTCGAAAAGTAAGCAATGATATTTACCTGCAATCGCATCTGCCATGGCTGGACCGCAGAAGGCCTGGATGCTCAGCAGGATCATCTGCGTCAGACTGTGTCGCCATACTCGTTTCCATCGGGGCATGGAAATCTCTTCAGTGGTGGCCATTCCATGGTCAGGAAGACCAGAGACTGCAGTCTTTGAGTCGGCCATTATGGATAAACGGCTATTGCAAGAATGTCGAATATGTCCAGCTGTAGGTTAAAGTCATCGAAGTGAGGTTGCATGAGATGTCTCTTTATACACATGGCATCACAGTCACGGCAACCCTGTCGAGATAACCCCTCTCGCTAGTGGAAGGTCCAGGCGAGTGGCTAGGAGTGTTATCTCTAGTGGAGCGAGCGAGTCAGAGCATGAAGGTCCAAGCGAGAGCCAGCGGGGAATCACCTGTAAGATAAACCATCACGTCTTTCCGAGCCAATAGGCTTGAAGAATAACAAGCTTTCGATCCTTATCCCCATGGGGTTTGGCGACTTTCTCTCCACAAGTCCCGAGTTTGTCAGCCGACCTAGTCATCCAGATGGAGCAGAATCATTGAATTCGCCTTGATAACATCGCTTGGAGCTTCCCCTGTGGGGCACTGTTATCGCCTTAATTACTCGACAAGCCCCTACCATCCTCGATCCCGAGTTGTCTTTAGCTTCGTGCCCAGACGTTTCCTCAAGATTCCACGCCATGACGCTATCACGAGACTCGACCAAGGTGGTCATTGTTGGTGGAGGCGGCACAATGGGCTCCTCCACGGCTCTGCACCTGATACGCTCCGGATACACGCCGTCCAACATCACCGTTCTCGATGTTTACCCAATTCCTTCGGCACAGTCGGCTGGATGCGACTTGAACAAGATCATGAGCGTTCGACTACGGAACAAGGCTGATTTGCAGCTGTCGCTTGAGGCGTTGGACATGTGGAGGAACGATCCATTGTTCAAGCCCTACTTTCACAATGTCGGCCTGGTTCGTTTTCAATGAAGCAAATCTCAAGCTGAATGCGTATTAATGAGTCCAGGTTGACTGCTCGTCATCCAAAGAAGGTATCGCGGAACTTAAAGAAGAACTCAAGACTATAATCGACGCAGGTGTTGGTCTAGACAAGGCAAGCAGCTGGCTTGAAAGTGAGGACGAAGTCTTGGCCAAAATGCCATGGTTCACAAAGGACCACGTCAAGGTAAGATACTCAAACAATTCCAAGTAACAGTTGCTAAGACATTGGTATAGGGATGGAAAGGCTTGTTTACCACTAACGGTGGGTGGCTGGCAGCCGCCAAGGCCATCAACTCCATCGGCAGCTTTCTCAGAAGCCAGGGTGTGCAATTTGGGTTCGGAGGGTAGGTTTCTCTGACCTCGCGAGTGTGTTTCTCGTATTTAAAAAGTCGCAGGGCTGGTACCTTTAAACAACCTCTCTTGGCCGCCGACGGATCAACATGTATTGGTGTTGAGACAGTTGATGGCACCCAGTATCTCGCTGACAAGGTCATTCTCGCTGCCGGTGCATGGACACCGGCGCTGGTAGATCTGGAGGGCCAATGCGTGTCCAAGGTCAGTATAGAAACAGCCATTGCCTTGCCCTTTCACCAAAAGGAGAGCTAACTGGGTATGACATAGGCCTGGGTCTTGGCCCATATCCGGTTGACCCCCGAGGAGGCAGCTCGATACAAGAACATTCCCGTAGTGTACGATGGTGACTATGGATTCTTCTTCGAACCCAACGAGTAAGATGCACCATCAAAGCCAAGTGCACATGCTAACATCTTCCCGCAGAGACGGCATCATCAAGGTCTGTGACGAGTTCCCAGGATTCACACACTTCAAGAAGCATCAGCCCTTTGGCGCCGCCCATCCCAAGTTCATCTCAGTTCCCCGGTCGCACGCCAGCCATCCCACCGACACGTATCCAGATGCCTCCGAGGCCACCATTCGAAAGGCCATGGCTCGATTTTTGCCAGATTTCCGAGACAGGAAGATAATAGACCGAGCCATGTGCTGGTGCACCGACACGGCCGACGCCAACCTTCTCATCTGCGAGCATCCTAGGTGGAAGAACCTGATCCTGGCGACAGGAGACAGCGGGTACGTTTACGCAGCATAGGCAATTACTGTTCTAACTTTAGGCGTAGTCACTCCTTCAAACTGCTACCTAACATTGGCAAGCATGTCGTCGAGCTATTGGAGGGCACTCTATCTCAACAGCTTGCCGAGGCTTGGAAGTGGAGGCCCGGAGGCGACGCGCTCAAGTCTCGACGTGCAGCCCCTGCCAAGGATCTTGCGGACATGCCAGGATGGAAGCATGATGCGCGACTATAGGCCTTAGACTTGGATGAGTTGCCGGACCTGCCATGAAACCTGCGAAGTGGAGAAGAAAACGAAACCAAATAGAACAAGGTCTCTTGCTTCACTGATGGTTTATCCCGGATGGTGATGTTCTCATGGTTGTCCACTTGTCTATAGAAGGAACAAAAGATGTCAAAAGGAAGTCTAGGCTGAAAGAAAAATGTACCGAATATCGGAAGTATTGTCAGACGGCGTACATGATAGTGTAAGTCGCAACGGCTCGGCGTGAGAGAGCCCCAACTCGATGCCCTCGGCTTGACAACCAAAACCTGAAACCTCAGGTCCAACTTCTATCGGACCCTAGTCTCATAGGTAGCCAGAGCCTCCTTCTCCTCGGGGAGACTTGCGAAATGTTTGTTGCCTCGGCGCTTCCTCATCGTGATGTTGTAATCCTGTACCCTGACCACCAAGATTATTCGTGGCTCTCTCCTAGTCGCCATCTCCACCAAAGTCCTTCATGCCTTCGATAATTTGCTTGATGACGTCTGCGGGATTTGCGGTCGCTTTCACCTGCGGCGGCGAGTCGTCGTCGTCTCTCGCCCAAAACGGGAAACCTGCGATGAGCGTGGCCGATGCCAGGACTACCAGGGCTGAAGTGGCAAAGCGGACCATTCTGAGGAAATTCGGAGGTTGCTTGCTTCTGTGAGCGGGCTATAATGTTGAAGCAGTTGGAGAAGGGTTTGAGTTGTCTAGGTCTGTTGGTGGGAGATCGGCCTGATTAAATACTCGATCTCTTGAGAGGGATACATGGAAACACCCTGCAGCTCTCAAGCACAATTCGTCTAGATAGACCAGCTCGTATAGCATCGACGTCAGTATACATACCGATGTAGAAAAACGTGACAGTAACATTGAATATGAAAATACTACAGCAAATAAACACATTTTCAACATTGATATTTAGGGATTCTTTTATGTAATACCTTACTACTTCATAATCATCTTTATTCCCTTTCTGTCTTTTCAAGCGGGATCAACTACTGCCTTTGCACGCGAACTTTTTGTTTCTTCAACCGTGCGTATGGACACCTCAAGGAGCATGAAACTTGGTCAACTGGGCACATGCCTGACCCCCCGCCCCCCAAAGTATGGATCCTCCTTGAAGCAAGGATTTATTTACAGGTAAATCAAGGCACATCGCTGCTATTTTCAGCCCTCTCTGGCGATCTTTTGTGCGGGGTTAACTCTCTAGTCTTGACGTCAACGTAGCTAGACGGCGGCCACGTTTTCCATCCCTTTCGAGTGCATTTAGTGGCGCTGTTCTGAAACATCTGACCCGCTCAAGGCGGAATGCAAGGCATTTGTGATGAAGAATCGCTTCATGCCCGCTCGGACTTAGGTTCCTTGCATCTGGCTCAGTTGGATGATAAGGTATAGCACAGCGGATCTCGTGCATTCATGCGTCTCAGTTCAGCCCCATAAACGAGCACACGCTTGCAGCCGAGGTTGGTAAAGAGGGCATAGATACTCGAGAGCCGTGTTTCAAGTGGTAGATCGAGCTAGAGCAAGGGGACAAAGTATTCAACCCAACAAGTCTGTTCAGAAATATCTGCATGTTTTGCAAGGAAAACAGGTTTTAATTTTGGTAGACTTAGTACTTTGTTTTCAACTCTTGATACCTCCAGGTGTATCAAGACATTCACGTAACACCATTCACGGTATGCTAGGCCTCAACCCTCTTCGTCCCCATCCCTCAGAATGTGCAAACAGCGCAGTGCTGATTCATTGATGACCTATTAAGTAACCAACAAAAACCGATTGCAACTCCAGTTGCGTCAAGACACGAACTTGCATGCCACTATTAAAGTGAAATAACCTTGTCACTAGTCAAGGTGAAGGACTCTTTTAGAACACCATTAGCACAACTTGAATATTGAACTTGGGAGAAAATCGACATACCTTGTTTCCGATGTCTCTATCGGGCCATCAGAGAGAGCCACGGTCAAACGAGGCCCAGGATGGAACCGGTCGCCAGCACCTCTCCTCCAGATTTGAGCACCTGCATTATCCCCAGTCCCTTGAACATATCCATCTTCTGGCTCTATTTCGTCGTCTAGATGGGTACTCAGGATGATCAAATTCGACTTTTGGACAGTTGAAAGGGACTTGGTTAGAGAGTCCACTCCAACCTTGTTGATGGGGAGACCAAGTCGCACTGCCGAGAACATGCCGCCCTCCCTGCGACCTGCGACCCAGATCTTGACGCTCCGAAGATTCTCGAAGCTATCCAGGTGAAGCCAGTGAAAATCATAGGGATTATGAGGATCTGCGCTGTGCACAGGTTCAAGCGCATCCTCCCCTTGCAAGAATTTGAACATCTCATTGTAATCAGTCCAATCCTCGTCCAGGACCGAGCACATGAGATGCAGCTGGAAATCAAGAAACAGAGACACCTCAAAGTTGAGAGCGTACTTGCGAAAGGCCTCGGGGATTACGGGGTTGAGGTGCTTGTAGGGCGTTGATGCGTGTGGCGGCTGACAATGGCCGACAAAGGATTGCAGCGCTAGCATGTCTGTAAAGACGAATGTGGTTGTCGAATACAGAAACCTAAGGCAATCCTCGGAGCTACGAATCTTAGCAATAGACACAATGGTAGTTTATAGGTAATACTCACATGAACTTGCAGGATAGAAGCATTGGCAAGTAGGTGTCTCGATCCCGTTTGGGCTTGTCGTCGCACCAGCATCCCCCTATCGATGTGTTGTGGAAAAAGTTCATTTCTTTCCCAAGCTCCTTGTCAAGCCGCTCGCCGCACTTCCAGTGGTTCATCCAGCAGCTCTCAAGTCGTTGGCGATAAGCGGGGTCATTGAGGGGTTCCCCCAAGGGGACCTGCTTCTCTTGCCTCAGGGCCTCAATCTCGTCTTGCAGCTCATCATGTGGCTGGAACCGGGAAATACAGGGCTCCCGGTGAAGATGTGATTTCGTCTCATCGGCGGCTGGGTCGAGGTGCCAGACGACATGCTGGCGGGGAGTCCAGGATGGCCAGAGCTCTTTGTAAATGGCTGCTCGAATATCGTACGGCAGCCGAGTAATGAAGTTGGATTGCGCTTGAGGGTCGGCAGCCATCATGATGCGGGATTGGTCAAGTGCTAAGAGATGGAAGTTGATAGATGAAGAAAAGGAGAGCAATGGCGTTAACTTGTTTAACTATATGCGGTACGTGTCTGGGATGTTGATCGAGGCTGATCGGTAGGCATAACAGGCCCCCGGTCGCCTCCTGAGCATCTCCACCAAGTCAGCCCAACGAGGCACGTAGGGATGTACGTAATGTGCCACCCCTTTTTCGCGAATCAGAACTGCGGCGGCCCAATGGTTTCTCCGTGCGTCACTTGGAGTCATCTGATCAATTTTCGTCCCTTGGCGAAAGAGATTCGGCTTCGTATGGGAGAGCCTAAGCGAGGGGTCGACAAACATGCCAAGGCGTCACCATCACCAGACATTTGCCGAGGTAATGACAAATTTATTCTTCAAAAATATCAATTTTGCAATTATGAGTAGGTAAGATTTGATCTTGTCCTCCAGAATGCTGCCGGATCTCTCAATTGCCTGGATCGACTGTCAGCATCCTGAGACACTCTCTGTCCTTTGTGTTGCAACACCGGGATTACATACCTGCCGATCTCTTGATGTTGGTAGTTCTTCATCTTTATGAAATAGAAGCTCCACACGGCCGTCAGATTGGAAAGAGACTTCCGCAGCTTTATCCCTAGGCTTGGTTACTCGCCTAACCGCTAGCTTCTCGAACGTCCGCAGGCTCCGAACACCTGCTGACATACTCTTCAGGGCGTGCGATCTAGGCCGTGAGTTGTGTGCGAGGATCAACATCTATGTGGCAGAGTCCCATGTGTCCGAGGATCAGCGTGTGTAGACAAGATAAATGGAATGGCCAAGCACCAGAACCATGTGCGCCAGGATAACGGTGATGGCGAGGTAACCATTGATGGAACTCGCCTTGTACACGAGGCTATCAATGGATACGGAGGTAAAGAAGATGCAAACCCTGTTCCATTCGGTTACTGTAATGCCATTCTGCCAGCCACTAACCTCTCGCTGAAGTCACCTCGCTTTGAATCTGCCAGCAACGTCCAGCTTCGCATGTCTCCAGTCATATTCAACGCTCTATTTATATCCTAACGAGAGTAAAGCCAACAGGAAACAAGCCGAGAGGTGCTTTCATGGTAGATGCAAGCTGGTCGCGGATAACTCTGAACACAACGCCTGTCAGGCTAGCAATTACGAGAAGTACCTAGAGCATAACAGAGATGACTAAGATATCGATGACAGGTCGGGGTAGTGTTCCCCTACCGAGGTAGAGGCTGCAGATATTGAGGGATATGATGTTTACTGAAGCCAGGATGAAAAGGATATGCACCCCAAGCCTGGCGAATACGGAGCCCCAAGATTGGCTTTAGGAACTCACGATCCGGCCATGTGACTTAGCCAAAGAGCTTAGAGAATAGGAGATTAAAGATTCTAAAGCCTATTATTCAAAGACATTAATGCTAAACTATTGGCGATTCTGGTTTGGGTTCACTTCTACTTGCCTCGGCTGATCTGGCCATGGGGCGGCTCAGTACAAGCCACAGTCGCTCAGTCTAGCCGCGTGACCGTCAACGGGATGAAAGTTTCTATATGTAAAGATGCAACAAGTCTTTGGTAGATCGGTTATGTAGTAGTTAGATTTGTTTGGCCGTTGCGTCTCCTCAGCAATGTCCTCGATAGGGCTTGCTAGCAGTCGAGCAAGGCCACTCTCCTGATCATGTCTCGCCTCGTCTCATCTCAAAGTGGACAGAGATCTCAAGGCAAAAGTCATAGAAGTCAAAGAGAAAGAATTGATAAAGCCTAGCTGCTTTCCTGCGAAAACGCCACTCGCATGTAGAGTGTAGACCCTTCTCTCTGTGGCACCTCGAGTAACACACAGCCAGCCACACGGACGGGTCAAGAAGCACCAAAGATACTAGCTTCAAAACCTCTGCTTATCAAGGTCTACTAATTGAGAACCTTTTTTAAAAAGAAAATCCAAAAAGAATAGCTTTGGCCTGTTTCAAGGTCTTGTTCTAATAATTATAGAACTTACCAGGGATTATATCACCGGTTAATGTCTATTGTCTTCCTTCTTCGTGGCAGCCACCACCAAAGACAGCTGACCTGGGCAGCGCTGACGGCGGGAATAACCCCTGGTCTCGGCGGGCTCTATCATTGGATAGTCTTCTGTCAATGGCTGATCCGGTCAATCCGATGGCCAATTAGAGGCCTCGACTCAAGTCCAAAGATGGAGCATCGCCATCTCAAGTTTCAGCCCCCTAAGCCAGCAAACACGTCGACTTGACCAAGTTGATAATCAGGCTGTGAGAGAATTCATTCATTCTTTTGCAACTTTTCCATCCGGTACATGTTTTGTGCGCTGCTGGCTTCTTTCTCTCTCATCCCGCGCGTCCCGAAGAGCCCATTTATCGGAACACGGCCTGTCTCAGTTTCTTGGCAATGAGCGATAACGCTCATCGAGAGCCGAGAGGTTCTCGAGAAGACCACCTGCATGAGGCTGTGGGAGACGAGGAGGCCCAGCGCCTGCTACCTACTGAGCAATTCGACTTGGAGGAAAACGCCGAGACTCAGCATCCTACACCACGGCGCCGTGTTAAGCTCCTTCAAAGAATCGCAGGACCGGATCCTCCTCGGATTCAAAGCATCAAGCCATTTTTTCCATCTGTTCAACGATACCCTATCAGCATTGTTGATCGCTGTTTCGCGACTCTTACACTCAAGATCGTTCTGTTGATCGCGTTCTTACTCCTCTGGATAATTGCATATTCCATTCCCTTATATGCTGGAAATCGCGCGATTAAGGATGCCCAGAATGACTATGTAGTCAACTTGGACTGCGTCGATTCCCTTTGGAGGCGCAAGAACCAGTGTGGACTTGATGGGCTAGACTGCCGTCC